GTAAGCCTGGTTGCACCGTTAACTGCTACTGCCTAACACTGTTCTTAACATTTTTCGGTGATCTAAGAACTTTACTCTTGCTGCCCCTCCGCGGCTTTTCTCCTATTTCTACACAGGGGAAAGCAAAGCACGAGGGTGGGTGGCGAGGGCTGACTGGCCACAGCCACCTCCAAGGGGCTGGAAAAGGCGCCTTTTCTTCCTGGGCAACACGGATCAAGCGCCACGGACCTCATCTCCTTGATGATCAAGATTTCGATCCGGGTACACGCGATCTCGTTCTGTGGGCTCCCAAGCGCCCTCGACCTCACGCTCCCCGTGTTAAGTAACGGGGCACGACAGGTCGCGAAAGATAGGCCCGTCGCTGCTCCAGCTCGCTCTTTGCTCCCGGCCCTCACCTGGCGCGGCAGTTGCCCGTTCCCATGGAGACGGCGCAGCCACTCAGGGGAGCGTAGGAGGCAGCCTGGCCGGAAGCTGCCGCCCTTGCGGTCACGGTCACAGAGTTGTAAATGACAGAGCGGACGGAGAATCTCGTTGCCCGGATAGGAAATTTCCGCCCTGCCTCTGGAAGCCATTTATAAAGTCTTCCATGGGGCGGAAGTGAATGCATCTGGAAGAAACCCGTGATTCTACAGCGGCTTAGAGGGGACTACTTTTTTTGATGCTTAGTTTAAAAAACAACAACAACAACAACAACATTTAAAACATGGCCCAGCACAGTCGGATGACATTTCACCATTTGTGTGTCGGGGTTTTTGGCTTGGAGAGCTGCTTATAACAGCCCTGCAAGGACACTATTAATGGTGCAGGTCAGAAGTAGCGCGAACGTTTGCATTTCCAGGTTACAGCAGTCTAGTTCATTTGCCTCTTCATACCACCCTCGTCCACTAAACTCCGTAGACTCCGCGCTACACTCGCAAATGTTTACAGGGGTGTGCGCGCGCCTCTCACCTGATTCAAGACCCCGAGTTAGAAAATTATAGACTCCTCTCTTTGCTACTACTTTTTGCTCGTTATGTGGGCACCTGCTTCCCAACTATTGCTAAAGTAAAATCTTCAATTTCTCCTTTGATTTCTATGAGCAGCTGAAATTCCGCGTGCAGACGACGACCGCTGGCGCTCTTTTTCTCTGTATGATACATGGCGCGGAGGGCGGTTTTTTTTGTTTGTTTGTTTTTTGTTTTTTTTTGTTTGTTTGTTTTTTTGCCTTTATTTACCCTTTGCCGCTGATCTGGCTTTTGAGCTTTTCTGGTGGGTTATTACCACTTCGGTGCGAAAGAAAGAATTCTCTTCCTTCCTTCGGTCTCCTTCAGCGCACTAAACTGGGGCTTCTAGCAGCTGGAGAGGCATTCCACCATTTGATGAAATCAATCCGTGCTTACTGCCTCAATTTTTAAAAATGGAGACACTCGTTCCAGTGGAATCAGACCACCAGAGATATATTTTTGTTTTGATATCACAGCTACAGGAGCGAAATCCTGCAGCGCGATTTCAGCAGATTAAGGGGCACCTAACGCCGCTGCCAGTCTACAATAATAACTTACTGGCGTGGAACAGGGAGTTATAGAAAAGGTTGCCAACCTGACAAAGCTCCTCCTTTTCCTTCAGCTCTTGCTGTGTGACAGTCAAAACTTCGTCACGTGACGCGTTTCCTATTAATACACCTGTATACATACCGGCAATATACCTATACCAGCTCAATTTGCCGGGCACTTAGGCATCCAGGAAGTCCCTCATCTCTTTGACGCAAGGGAAAACTTTAATGACGGGTGCACATAGGCGCCGACTCCATGGGGCTTGAGGGGGCCCGAGCCCCCTCAAAAATTCGTTTGGGGGGGCTCAGCCCCCCCAATAATCTCGGGCGGCGGTGGGCGCGTCCGTGGCTTTTATAGGGCGCCCGGCTCGATAACGGGCACCGGCGCGGCGGGGGGCGCCGGGCCGGGGGAGGGGGGCGGCCGGCCTGTCTCCTTGGCAACCCCATTGAGCAGCGCCGGCTCCCCCGGGAGGGCCATCCCCCCGCGCCGCCGATCGCCAACACCGCCGACGCTGTGGCTGCCCGAGCCCGAGCCCGAGCCCGAGCCCGACCCGGAGCCCGAGCCCGAGCCTGAGCCCGACCCGGAGCCCGAGCCTGAGCCTGAGCCCGAGCCGGAGCCCGAGCCCGACCCGGAGCCTGAGCCCGAGCCCGAGCCCAAGCCCGTCAGTCAGTCAGTCAGGAAGGAAGGAAGGAGAAATGGGGAGGGAGACGAGGGAGGAAAATTGCGCGCAGGGTGAAGAAAGGAGAAGGGCGAACGAGACGAGCTTCCAACCCAAAAAAGGGCTGGAAGACTGGGAGGATGCAGGATCGGGAAAGAAAGCGACGCCTTCCCTGCCCGCGACGTCGCCCGCTTGTCATTGGCAGCGCAGCGGGCGCCCAGAGGGGCTGGGCACCGGCGCAGGGCCGCTCCGCAGCCGCGGAGGACAGCTGCGCGGCTAGCAAGGTGTGCCGCGTAGAGCGCGGCCCTTGTGTGGCCCGGTGGCCAGGCAAGCTCGGGCGGGGACCCCCATGCAAATCTAAGACGGGAGAAGAGGGCAGAGCAAAGGGGGTCCCTTCCCCAACCTCCGGCTTCCCTGAGCCCCAGAAAAGCGAAAGGATTTTCTCTTCTTCTTTTTTTATAAATATTTTATTAAGGTTTCAAATACAAAGTTAGAAACATACACTGAAGAAAAAAGTAAAAGAACAAGAAAAAGAAAAAAAGAAAAAGAAGAAAAGAAAACCAACCATTCAACACATTTTTTATATAACTAACTGGACTTCCTCGCATCTCCCTTACCCTGCATTCTTTATAATAAAGATATCAGCAAATTATTACCTTGTTTCGTACCTTATTTTGTACTTTTCAAATACTATACCTCTAAATTTAACATACTTTTCATCAGTTACTTATATCTTAAATTAAACATAGTATTACCTTAGATTTTGACCTTTTCTTACTTAAAATATAATTTCCTGTTTCCCAAATCTAATTGCTGAAGCTATAGTTTCCGAATCGTGTAAATTTTTAACATTCATACAACTTATATTGTTTTTGTAAATAGTCCTTAAATTTTTTCCAGTCCTCTTCCGTTGTTTCTTCTCCCAAATCTCGGATTCTGCCAGTCATTTCAGCCAGTTCCATGTAGTCCATCAATTGCGTCTGCCACTCTTCCAGTGTGGGCAAATCTTGTGTCTTCCAATATTTTGCGATAAGTATTCTTGCTGCTGTAGTTGCATACATAAAGAAAGTTCTATCCTTCTTTAACACTTTCTGGCCAACAATGCCCAAGAGGAAGGCCTCTGGTTTCTTGGGAAAGGTATACTTAAATACCTTTTTTAACTCATTATAGATCATTTCCCAGAAGGCCTTCACTTTTGGACAGGTCCACCAGAGGTGAAAGAATGTCCCTTCAGCCTCCTTACATTTCCAACATTTATTATCAGACAGGTGATATATTTTTGCAAGCTTGACTGGGGTCATGTACCACCTATAAATCATTTTCATAATATTTTCCTTCAAGGCATTACATGCCGTGAATTTCATTCCGGTGGTCCATAACCTTTCCCAGTCCTCAAACATGATGTTATACCCAATATCCTGAGCCCATTTTATCATGGCTGATTTGACTGTCTCATCCTGAGTGATTTTCTCTTCAACCTGCCCTCCATCCTCTTGCAGAAAACTCTTTGCCTGCCCTGCCCGTATCTCGTTTTTGCTTTTTAATTCCACACACGCACCCTTCGGACTTCGTGGCAATCGGGCGCGCGGGTGCGTTTCCTAAGAGAGTGAGGACCCCCGCCTCCTCCCCACCTGCTCCCTCGCCAGCCAGCCAGCCGCGCGCCCTAGCCGGAGAGCCCCGGCCGTCCCCGTCGCGCAATCGGCTGGATCTCCCTTCAGCAGGCCGTGCTCACAACTCGGCCCAGGGACCCCCCAGCAGCGGATCTCCGGCCCAGCTGAAGAATCCGGCAACAAGCCCCCTCCTCCCCAATCGCTCCGCCGAAATACGCTCCAAAACCCCCCAGATAGGCCGCCGGCCGCCAAGTCTAGTGGCGCCCTGAGCGAGGGTCTCTCCCCAACACCGCCACCTCGAACTGCGTTCTCCCGGCTACCCGAGCGAACCAGCGGCAGGACCCCGGTATGGGCCCCCCCAATATTTTTTATAAGTCGGCGCCCCTGCGGGTGCACCTAGGTACATTGCAAAGGCAGAAGCAAACGAAGAGGCTTGTAAAGCTCATTAAATGAGAACTTTCCCGGCTCGATTCCCCGCCGTGTTCATGCCCAGCAATATACTGTACAGTACTGTACAGATCTTGCTGAGAAAACTACATTTCCCAGAAACCCGTCTTGGCGTTGGCTGGGCAGTGCCATAAACTGCGTCTAGACTAGTCTGAAGTGCCTCCTATCATGAGCAGAGACGATGGAGCTGAAGGGGACCTGGAGCTTTGGAACTACTTTTCCCGGCGCTCCCCGCGACTCAGACGGAAGCGAGGTGTGAGCTGTTGCTTGTATTTCTTGGTTCTTTGAGTGCGTGGACGCAGCTGGGTCGCGAAAGCAAACCTTGACCCTTGTGTGTGCGCAATCCCTCTTGCGGCTGTTCCCAGGCGCTTCCCTGCAAGGGGCGATCCCGCTACTCATTTATACGTTATGCTGTCTAGCAAATGTCAATTCCTTATTGCTCCTCATATGTGCTTTAATGGCGCGGTCGGGGGTGTGCACTGGGCAGCAGAACCTGCAGTGCTTGAAACTCCTTGCAAGTTGCTCTCTGGAACTGCTGTGGGTTCAGCTTCGCTCGACAGCCTGGATCCAATAGATGCTTCGTGTGCTAGTTGAACAGAGATGCGACCGGGGATCCTGCAGCCCTGCAGGTGCTTCTGGACTCCAGCTCCCATCTGCCTCAGCCACAAGGGGGAGGTGCCCTGGATGATGGGAGTTGTAGTCTATCAGTATCTGGAGAGCAGCAGGTGCCCCAGTTGTGCAAGGTAACTGTACTGTATGTTGCTTACGAAGGCTGTTGCCGCAGCAAACCAATTTATCGCTTTATGCCAGCAGCTTTCTTGAGGCAGAGCACTGGACGTCACGGGACTTTGTGCTTTATTGTTAACTTTATGAGGCTGGAGTTGGTTCCTTGTTCAGCACGCATGAGGGAGCAGGCTGAATATGGAACTGACGTTTGCACACTTCTGCGCTTTGCGATAAGTTGTCGGCAGCCGCGTTTCACTTCCAGCGTCACCCCGAGAGACTGCCAGCTATAAGTAGTGCCAGCTTAGCATTCTCTCCCATCCATTTTTTGCATTGGCTGCCGTTATGTTCATGAAACCGAGAGACGGTGAAATTCAAGGCTAAAAGACGGGGTAGTTTGTCACAGTTGTCTGTTCACCAGTCGATGCCATAAATTATTCTAATTTAAATATCGACCCACAAGTGCTTAAAGTCCTCCCTCTCTTTGGAAGCAAAGGAAAGCAAAAGCAGCAACCACCTGGTGCGATTTTCAAAAGGGGCTCTTTGGCATGGTAGTGCATCAGTTTTTATTAGTTCTTGTTACAGTGGCCATTTTCTGCTCTTCTCTTTGACCCCGCTTATACTTTGCAGTAAAGCTATAAGTCTGTAAGTAAAAAGGTTGATCATAAAGATAAATGATTCTAGTCGGGTAGCTGGGTCAAAACATGTTAGCAAAACCATATTTTGAATGAAACCTTTCCAAAGTTGGCTGTAGTTTCTATGTATTTATTTTCTTATCTTACACCTACTTACCCTTGATGTTTACACTTCCTTTCCTAAGGGTGTTTTAATTCTTTGTTCTAAATCTATTGATGGGGTTATTTTGTGTGTGTGTGTTGTTATGAATTTGTGGGGTGAGAGACACTATAAATTTCTGGGTCCAATAAAAGTTAGAATTAATCAAGGACCGGGGAGTTAAAACTGCCAAACACTGAACCACTGGAATATTAACATTAACGACAACAACAATTCTATACTGCCCTTCATCCAAGGATCACAGGGCGGTTTAAAATATAAAAGCACCAAAATGCATGCCATAGTAACAAGCAAAAAACACAGTAGTTACTCTGTGCTGGACAGCAGAGGGGTGTGAGCCCCTCCTCCTTCTAGAGAGGTAGATAGTAATACAAAAGGCCATTTTTCAGTTGCAGTGGACTGATGTAAGCAAGAGGGAAAATAGTTTTGGGAGGGAAGCAGAGTCTCTGGAGAAAAGGCGGTCACAGCACAATGTGGGCTGACAGTTTGAATCCAGCGTGGCAGCAATGGTAGAAACAGGGCCCTCCTGAACTGTAAAACTCCCCCATATAATTGTGGGAATTGTAGTTTGTAAAGGGTGCTGTGAATTGTAGCTCGGTGAGAGGCAAACTACAATTCCCAAGCTTATTTGGAGGAAGCCATGAGCTTTGAATGTAAATGTATGGTATGGGTGTGACCCCAAACTGAACTGGCAACTTTAAACAATTTTTTGTGGGCTATGCCCCCACAGAAACCACACAGGACACAGCTGCTCAGCAGCTTTCACTTTTGCATCAGCACATTTTCCACTTGGTGTACGTGGTGAGTTAATGGCACAAAAGTTTCAGTAGAGCTCTCCAGTTCATGAGAAGATGCTAGTAGAAATTGCCAGCCATCCAAACTGAGAGTCTGGCTGCAGTTAGATAAGAGACTTGTTGTTTTGTTTTTTTTTAAAGACCCTAGTTTGTCATTCACTTAACTTCCAGCCCACCTTTGCACTGTGAAGAGCAATGTTTCAGTCATTGCCATAGTCTTTTAATGCACACACTCTGCAAGCTTCTCACTTCTGTCTTGAAAGCAGAAGTTGGGATGATCTTGTGACCGTTGTCTCCCTCCAGGACCCAGTGGTTGCAGGTGCAGCATCTGTGCAGGGCTGCTGGGTTGGTAGAAAAAGTCTGTGGTTTGCACCTTTCACTGTGGGGACAGTTCGTAAATAAATTTGAAATCTAATGTGAGGCTATCTGTTTTCTTATGCAATTGACTGCAGTGACCTTTATTTTTGGCTGAAACTCAGCTATGAGTTAGATCAAGTTGGATCCAGTAGTAGCCAATCTAATTTCACTTTATGAATGCCAGTGTTGCTTACACAAAAGTTTGCCTTGGTTCACAGAAGAGCCTTGGATATCAGAATTGGACATAACACATGGTCTCTGCTGCCTAACTAGATTTAACTAAATTGGAGTTGCATCCTGCCAGATCATATGATCAATTCAGTGTAGGTTCTGGTTCCTGATCAACAACTGTGGGACTGTTTTGTTTCTCTGGAAACTTTCTCTTCAGTAACATGTGTACTCCTTTGGTGTTTCTGTGCAACTTGGCTTTGGGAAGTATGTAGTACCATTTACTTTCCGAAGGAAGTAATTGAGCCTCCTTCTTTTAGTGGACAGGGGCTGCAGACAGTAGAAGCCCCTGCTGACACAGTTGGATATAGTCTGTGAGGTGTGTTATCCCATTGACTTTTGAGAGAATAGTGGTTAGAATGTGAATTGCCTTAACCAGCCTGGGGAAATTCCAGATCTACCTTCCACTTAGCTGTGAAGTTTTGATGTTTCATGGTCTGTGGTGGAATTAGTTCCTCTGACCCAGCGTCTGAGACTCCACCCTATTTTGGGTTACAAAACTGTGTGACAGAAAAATAGTTCTCTGCTGAAGGGAGGAAAGCAGAACTAGGTAGTAAGGAAAAAGAGGAGGCAAAAATCTTGCTGGTGCCAGAACCAGCAGATGGTTGGATAGCTTTTACAGCTAGCTGGTCTCTTGCCTTCTCAGGTGTGCTCCCTGTGAACAGGATGATTCCCAGAGTCTCATTCTTGCTGCTCTCAATCCTACTGGGAATTCTGGGGATCTTGTGTGTGGTGTTCACAGTCTACTGGACCCAACACTGGCTTGGTGGCTTTGCCTGGGATGGTTCTTCTCAGATGTTTAACTGGCATCCAGTTTTCATGGTGACAGGCATGTTGGTCTTGACTGGTGCAGGTAAGTGAAAAGAGGATCCAATCCTTTTCTGATTTCCTCTCCTCCCGCCCCAGTAGCAGAACCGATATTAACATCCTATACAGTGTTATCTCGGGTTAAGAACTTAATTCGTTCTGGAGGTCCGTTTTTAACCAGAAACTGTTCTTAACCTGAAGTACCACTTTAGCTAATGGGGCCTCCCGCTGCCACCGCACGATTTCTGTTCTCATCCTGAAGCAAAGTTCTTAACCCGAGGTACTCTTTCTGGGTTTGCTGAGTCTGTACCTTGAAGCATCTGTAACATGAGATACCACTGTATCCTTTTAAGTGTGTTTGTGAGGGCGGGGGGTTATTTTATTATGTATCTTGTGTTTTTATCTTGTGTTTTTATGCTGTGAACCACCCTGAGATCATTGGCTGAAGGGCAGTATACAAAACAAGCAAGCCTGGGAATCAGTGACTTGGCTATTTTGGTGGGGATGTGGGGAGGGTGCCTGAGCTATCTTGGCTCTAGTGACTTCTCCCCCTCTCTCTCCTCCAGCGGTGCTAGTGTATCGCGTGCCCCTCTCTTGGTCAGGGCCCAAGCTGCCATGGAAGCTGCTGCATGCAGGACTGACCTTGGCAGCATTCATCCTAATTGTCCTGGGACTGGTGGCCGTCTTTGAATATCACAACAAACAGGGCATTGCCAACATGTACTCCCTCCACAGCTGGCTAGGGCTTGCTGCTGTGCTGCTCTTCTCCTGTCAGGTGGGTAAGAACCTAAGAAGCTGTAGCTTGGTGGCAGAGCACATACTTTGCATCGAGTGTGAGGAACATTCACCCTCCAGATGTTGCTGAACTTCACTTCTCATCATCCCTGAGTATTGGCCATGCTTGCTAGGGCAAATGGGAGTTGCTGTGCTGTAACATCCGAGGACCAAATATCCCCCACCCCTGTTTTACATGCAGAGGGTACTTGGTTCAGTCCCGGTCACTTTTATGTAGGGTCGGAGCAGGGGGAAACCTGTCTGAAACCACCGCTTTTAGTGTTCGGGAGGGATACACAATCTTCAGGTTTGTTGGATCTACTTTGGGTTTTTTTCTTCACAAGAATCCCAAGAGCAACCAACCAGAGCTAGGTGCAAAAGACATATTTGGAATTAAATAAGGTGGTTGCCTCCTAGCACAATCTCAGCCCATGAATCCCAGTACTGAGAAAGCTGCCATTTGTAGATCTAACCTCCTTGAATTCATCGTAATACTTCTAAAAGCAAAGTATTTTGGTGGGTTGTCACCAGTGCTTTTTTCTGGGGGGGACAGGTGTACGCATACCCCTAAACATTTTGTGAATTTAATTTTGGCCTCATTGAGGGGCAGTATTTCAATATGAATAGGAAAATGAGAGTACTCCTAAACATTATTTTTTTTAGAAAAAAAGCACTGGTTGTCACCGACATTGCATAGAAGATATACTTTTGTCTTAAACCTGCGGCCTGACACTTCTTGTATTTTGTGAGAGTGAATAATTTGTTGTAGCCACCCTTTTCATAAATATTAGGTTTCCTCCCTCTTGGGTAATCCCCCCCCTTAACCCCTTCACCATGTGCACATGTGGTATTAAAAGTTTGTTTCAAACATTTTATTTGTTTTATTTAAAATGTTATCTGTAAAAGCGCAGTAGATATTTGAAAAAAACTAACCTAAATTGTTCACTGGTGGCTGTCTATCTCCCCCAACCCCCAAGCTCTCATAGCTAGTTTGAGATTTTAGATCATGAATATAATAAAACAAATACTTCTGCAAATCTGGTTTCTGCATTACTTGTGCTCAGTCCCTGTGCAGATACCATGCTGAGCCCTTCCTCCAATATGGGTTTCTGAAAATATCCCAATTTCTTATCTCTTCCATCCAGTGGGCCATGGGCTTTGCTTCTTTCTTGCTGCCTTGGGCTCCCACCTGGTTCCGAGCCTTGTACAAGCCCATCCATGTCTTCTTTGGCTCTGCCATCATCCCTTTAGTTGTGGCCGCCTGCATCTCGGGCATCAATGAGAAGCTTTTCTTCAAACTGTGAGTAGCAAAACAGAGAGGGCTTGATAATGGGAGGAGGAAATAGCACGCGCTAAAAAGACAATGGAGAATATGTTGCTGGTTATTTACACTGGAGAGAGTTGGCAGTCTTCTGGGGTACAAATAATGAGGGATGAAGAGGCAGCTGCTCAGCCTGGTCCAGATCGATAGCAGTCATTATAAGTTTGAAAGCAATGATAGCTTTGAGACCAGGAATAAGGAACATATAGTTCGGCAACATTTGAAAGGCCACTGGTTCCCCATCCCTGTTTTATAAGTACAGAAGGGAAATGTGTCCACAAGGCAATGGGGAACCTGAGAATGCGGTTAAACCACATGTAGCAGCAGCAGACAGGAATGTGGAGCTAGTGTCTGGAGGCTTGCAATGTGAAGATAGTGTTCTGCTCAATAGGTCATTGTACACATTTCATTGAATATAAGATGTGCTTCGGCCTTGAGCCCAAATGCATTACTTGGGTGTCTGGGACAGTAGAATGGCTGTTGGAGCAAAGCTACATATGGTGAAAGAGATTACGTGGCTTAATATAGATTGTTGGCACTATCCAGATATTTCCTTCTTTATGGGTCTCTGGGGAGGTGTTTGTGGTGCTATTGGCTTTTCATCAAGCATTTTTGCTTTTTGTCTGTACTTTTAGAACAAACACAAGCACACCCTACGCTCAGCTTCCTGCAGAGGCATGGTTTGCCAACATATTGGGGATGCTGATCCTGGTCTTTGGGCTACTGGTGCTGTTTGCCCTTGCCATGCCAGTATGGAAGCGTCCAGATGTGAATTCGCAAGATACCCAAGAGGTGGTATTATTATTATTATTATTATTAGCCTTTAAGATTTATTTATTTTACTACAACTATTTCCTGCCTATCCTTCAAGGCATCACACAAGGTTTTCTGTCTCCCCCACTACAATTTATCCTAACAACAACCCTGTGAGGCAGGTTAGGCTAAGAGGGACTGGCCAAAGTCACCCACTGAGCTACATGGCTGAGAGGGGATTTGAACCTGGATCTTCTTGGTCCTAGTCCAGCACTCTAGTCACTACACCATACTGGCTCGAACCCACCAATGTATTGTGGCTTGTAATTCATGTCTGTTGAGTTTAAATGGTAGTGTGTACTAGCTTGGACAAAGTAGCAGAGGGATGGGGGAAGAATTTTTCAGAAAATGAAACTCTTGTTCAACTGTTGTTAGGATGAGAGCAGTGTATTTTCGCTGTGTACACACAAGAGTTCCAAGTAGATTTGGTGCATCCCATGTTTACATGTTTTTTTTCCTGCCATCCACATGATTTTATCCTCCTTCAAGTAGAAACTTGCACCAGCTCCCAATAATTCAGATTTATTTGATACACAGATAATGCAGTAAGGGGGAAAAAATCCAACATAAAACCACATGCTACCCAAATATGAATGTACTAAAGCACATTATGTGGGTGACATCCATATATATACGTGTGTGATGATGTTTTGCTGGGTGTCATGTTTTCATCATCACCTCTACTTCTGATGACAAGGCAGTTCTCAATGGGCTTCTGGTGGGGCTGAGTATGACCTCATATATGCTTTTTTTCTTTTTCTTTCTTTTAAAAATCTGCTGTTTTCCGCAAATCTGGTATATCAGAAAACTTGTATCTATATTTCTTTTAATGGCTGTGCACACAAGTAAGCAAATACCTGTGCAAATGCTCATAATGGACCGCAGGTGTCCTTAAGTCAGGGAGGGGTGCTATAAAGTACTAATGGGGAAGTACTAATTGAGGAGAGGGGGGACAATAACACATAGTATGAGTATAGCCCATCAAGAACTGACCGATAGTACGGACAGAAGACGTTAAACTTCATTAGATTTTGGGGTTGTGGGTTTTTTGGTTTTATTATACACACACACACATACACACACACATGCAAATATGTCCATTGCATACCACCCTAACGAAGGAAAGAACTGAACAGTGGGGCATGTTTTTGAGATTTCATTTTCGGTTAATGATAAGACATATTCCTTGTGGATTATTAGTCTGACTGGCTTCCAACAGTTCTCTGTCCTATTTCCCCATAGCCTCCATGGGTTTATATTGCAGAACATTTGTTTTGAAAACACAGACATAGAATGACACATGTGTATAGTAGTGGAACTTATCCCTGGCAAAAGGAGCAACAGTATGGGAGCTAAATCCTAGAAACCTGGTCTGAATTTTCTCTGCAAGAGGCCTAGACTGAACATCATAAGCAATAGACAACATGTTCTGAGAGAGTTTAATATCTGAGAGTGAGATAGAAAGCTTATGGAATCAAGCTTTATTATTTACTTCTGTTCTTTTTCTACAGCCCTTGCTACAGGAGGATAAATGAAGCAGCAAACAGGAAGGATTGTGATCCAGACCTGTGTGGTGGCCTGTTCTCCACTGAGATCTTCAGCCGTTCTTGCTTCTGTTTTCAGTGCAAGAGTTGAAACTTTAATTGTGGCACTGAATTGTCTGGCCTTCTGGGTACTTTATTAATTCCCCCCACCCCATCCCACCCCCGGCTTCCTCTTGCTGAGTTGTTGAGCTGCTGGAAATCCAGGTATCTCTGAACAATTCATTTCTTAGTTGCTATTGTGCCATTATGACAAGTTCCCAGATTTTTGTACTTCATGGACTTATTAGAAACCTAAATTATCAGATAAAATAAATGATTCCTTCTTATTGTTTTGCTGTTGGATTTGCAGGTGCTTCTACACTAGGTGTTCAGTGTGGAATTGTCATGCTTCGGGCATTCACTTTTGAATGGGGCATCCATACAGTGCTGACATCCATGTATTGTCCTCCTGTGTTTTCCTGTGACTCTTGTTAGGTATTTTCTGTTTAATAACAGAAAACAGCACAATTCTGAAGGTGCCAGCGGCCTTAGCATTCCTCATCCATCTTCTTAAAGATACGGAGTTTCAATGAGTGTGTCCAGATGAGGGTCTCCTACTGCTATCTGTCATGACTCTCCCGTTATAAGCAGAATTGCAGCTGATTATCCACCTGCCTCTGGTGCTCTGATGCAGTGTCTGCATCTTATTATATTTTGTCCACAAGGTGGGCATGACATAACTGTATGGACAAGGTTATATCCTTCTGTTTCTTCACCTCTTGGTTGGCTGTCACACGTCTCCTTTTCCTCACATTTTGAAGCGGGTGCTTCTTAGCACCATTTTAACCCCCTGATTTGTGTGCCCTCACTGTGTGAAGTGTTTACACAATAGGCAAAAAATTGCAAAAAACTTACAGAAGTAAACGAGTGCTTGCAAGCTTACTTTCCAAGTAAAACATCATTGAGAAGAATCCCAGGCTCTAAATCCGTGGATTTTCACTTGAGAATGATCTATATCTCTGTAACTTCAGTCAATTTTTACAACCCAGATTAATTGGACAATCCAGTGTAGCAGTTCAAACAACCCACTAGAAAGCATTGCTAAATTGATTCCCCGTCCCCTTGCTTATTGGTTGCAGTATTTTACCACAGCACAATTGTTAAATGTTTTTAATAGTGTCTGCAGCACAGGGGCTGGAGGATTGTGGCCTTGCAGGATTACTGCTGAAACCTACACCTTGGTACTTGGAAGTTAGCACTACTTTATCTTAATGCAGTTTACCAATAAAATAGCTAACTGAAGTGTGTAGGGAACCTCGTTTTAGGGAACAATTTATTAAGACTGAAATCTGGTAGAAAGGAGTTGGGGTGCAGGACATGAAATGATTTTTAAACCAGAAGTACATGGCAGGCCTTAGAGAAAAGAGCGGTCATCTCCAGCATGTCAGCTACCTTCCTCAGGGAAAACAACTCCCAGTGTGGTTCAGATGTGACTTTTCCTGTGCACAACTGCAAGGAGATTGCTGTGCACTTCTGCTCTTTCCCTCTTTAACAGTAAGAAAAATGGTGGAAGAAGCAATGGGAAAGCCTGGGAGGATTATACTTGGCTTACATCCAGATGCCCTGTAACACTGCATGGCGGAGGCATACCAAATACACATTAAAAGCTTCAGGGAAGGCATAATGAACACATATACTGAAAGCCTCATAGGGAAGCAGCCAGTGTGTGCCATGATCGATAAGCAAGGACAATAATAATAATTTTTATTTATTTATATCCTGCCCTCCCCAGCCGAAGCTGGGCTCAGAACAGCTAACAACAATATTGCCATTCAATGTACCATTGTTATCTTTCTAGTTGGAGTCATTATATCAACCCCATTCATTTTTTCCACTCATCGTCAGATTAGCTCTGTAGTTTATTTTGTTGGTAGACACACATAAACAGCATATCTATTTCTACCATAGGACTCTGGTACACCGTGGTGACTGGTAGGATAGAAAGTTAAAGATAGAGCCAGAGCCACCCTCCTCTCTGCTGAGTTGTACAAGCAATACTGAGACTAAGGCAGCCAGGACCAATCCCTGGACTGGATGCTAAAGTAGGATGGCAGGCATTTGGGGGCTGACTGGGGGCAGACTGGGACTGGTGGGGCAATGCCCTGATTCATACCTCCACTGGTGCTACACAAAGTGTGATGCCTTCCTTTTTTCTTTTTTCTTTACTTTGTTGCAGCTACCACCTAGTAAGAGTTCCTTAATACATCTGGTTCATCTGTCATTAGAGTCAAAGCAAGGGACACTTTGGCCTTGCTCTCACATGGGGCTACTTCTTGGTGATTCTACATTGGTAGCAGCCAATGTATAATATGTATTGGGATGCCTTGTCTAGTCTGCAGAATGCACACCGCTTTTTCAAGATGTCACGTGTTTATGCTTTTATTATATCCTCCTAAATACTTCCTGTAAAGTAAAGGTAAAGGGATCCCTGACCATTAGGTCCAGTCACGGACAACTCTGGGGTTGTGGTGCTCATCTCGCTTTACTGGCCAAGGGAGCCGGTGTACAGCTTTCGGGTCATGTGGCCAGCATGACTAAGCCGCTTCTGTCGAACCAGAGCAGTGCATGGAAACGCTGTTTACCTTCCCATCAGAGCGGTACCTATTTATCTACTTGTACTTCATGCTTTCGAACTGCTAGGTTGGCAGGAGCAGGGACCGAGCAATGGGAGCTCACCCCGTTGTGGGGATTCGAACCGCCGACCTTCTGATCAGTGATCTGCTTATTTTTCCAGTAACAAATGAACATAACCTTCTTTTGGGGAGGGGAGCCACTCCCCCCCCATGGCAACATGGAATATATAGAGGTACAAATTAGAAAGTGATATTCAGGACAATGTTTGAATTATTCTAGAACTATGTTTTACCACATCCTGTTTTCCAGCATTCTTACTAAACAGCTCATCTTCAACTAGCCTGACATAAGCTGACAAGTCATTATGTAAATTTTTATATAGAGATTTTGATCCTGCCATTCTAGTAACTAGGTATGAGATTAGCTCTCCTAGTTCAAGGCCAAGCATTTAGAGGATACTTGTGACTTTTCTCTCTCTGATATATATCTTGTTTTGTTGAGTCACCTCATCTATCATTTTTGGAACTATAAACTATGTACTATAATGTCAGTAGTGTTTGAGGGTGCTTATGAAAGACAGATTGCTTTCTCCACGGTTAACCACATAAAGACTCCCATACCGAAACAAGCAGTGGGAAATGGTCTCTTCCTGGCTGAGAACTATTTCTTGGCATGAAGCTAAATTTGCACTTGAATAACACTTACTGATATCACCTGATTCAGAGCACTGGTATCTGGCTTAGTTATTCCTAGCATGTGGTGCCTGCTGTTTTTTTGTAGATTTCAGTCTGTTAGAACTGGTAAAAGGCCATCACAGTCTAATATACACTGATTGGTGAAATAATTCCCCCCACCACCCCAGACCCATACATAAACATACATAATACTCTTTCAGTCATCAACAGCTCCTCCTAAGTCTCATTCTTGCCACCTTTCTAAAATAAGCAATGGTTTCTTCTTCTCTTGGTTTCAAATGTGTTTCAGAACTTTTGTACATGCTGCCTCTATATATGAACCTTATGGCAAACAGTAGAGAATGCTGTTGCTATCTTCAGGGGGAATTGAAAACTAGGTTTGTGCAATTAAAGTTGATTTGATACAGCATGACCACAAACCTTTCCACCCCCAATCATACTTTTGTGATAATGAAAGTAATAGGGAAAATCACTGGAAAGGGTGGGATAACACATGAACACATGCTTGATGCATTGTGCAAGGAAATTGAATGTTCAATATGCAGGTCGTCTGGAGGCAACCTTGGCTAGGTAAGGGTTGGGGCATGCCTAGTCTTCTCTTCTATTCCTAGACAAAAAGAAGGGGGGGGGAGAGCAGAGTGCTCAGTCTCTTGTCTAAAACTTTTTTTTGGCATTTTTACCTTAAAAGTACTAATAGCACTTCAGCAGTGTTGCTATTTTGTGGGTGGGATTGTGCGAGAGCACCAAATTCACTTTTAATGTTTACTATATTTTGTACATTGCTGTATATATCAACACGCTTCCACCCCCAAGTTGGAATTTTTGTGGCAAGAAAAGGAGGAAATGTCCTACAACGTAACACTTGCTTGAGCAACATAGTACAACCTCCTGGCAAACAAATGCTCAGGAACAGTGGATATCATGTAACCTCCCTGCAAACTTTGTACAGAAAGATGTGGATGAATGCTCCATAAAAAGGTGATTTGGAAGCAACCTGAGACCAGTATATTGTCTTGCAGTGCAATCCTAACCATGTCTACAGACCAATAAATCCTATAGATCTGAACAGGGATTACTCTTAGGTAAGCAGGGTTTGGATTGAAGCCTTAATGCTGTTTAGAAAGTTCCATTCAGTGATCTGCTTCTTGACAAATGTTCTTTGCAAATGTAGTGATTAGCTCCTAAGTATAATTCTAATACCATTTCTCCTTGCCTAGACAAGCCATTCAATATCAGGTAAGCTTTCTATGAAGAAATTGGCTGAGTTGCTTTATTCCAGTATTTGTCAAATAGATATTAAGCCACTGTTCCCCCTTTTGAGATACAACAGGAAACAGAAGTACAGTGGTGCCTCGGGTTAAGTACTTAATTCGTTCTGGAGGTCCGTTCTTAACCTGAAACTGTTCTTAACCTGAAGCACCACTTTAGCTAATGGGGCCTCCCGCTGTTGCCGTGCCGCCGGACCACGATTTCTGTTCTCATCCTGAAGCAAAGTTCTTAACCTGAACATAGGCGCCGACTCCATGGGGCCTGAGGGGGCCCGAGCCCCCTCAAAAATTCATTTGGGGGGGCTCTGCCCCCCCAATAATTTAAGAAAATTATTATATTATGCTTTGTAAAATCACAAAATTATGTTGGTATTTTTTATTTTCCTTGTTTGACGATAGTTACCTTTTAAAATACATTCAGTAATGAGTTAAAACAAAGCCACTCCCGATCTAGAGAGGGGGTGGGGTTGCGGGCTCTCGACCCATCAACAATCTCGCGGGGCTGGCGTCAGCCCCGCGAGAAGCGGGGATTCCCCCTAGCTCTTTAATAATCACCGCCCACGGCGGCAGCCAATCGGCTGCCGCAAAGGGCAGGCCCTCACAGGTTCACTTAAGGTCGGGGCAGCCCGGGGCTCGCCCCTTTCGTTACCCCAGCAGCAGCGGTTTGGAGGTCTTGGGCCCCCCCAATATTTTTTATAAGTCGGTATGGGCCCCCCAATATTTTTTATAAGTCGGCGCCCCTGAACCTGAAGCAC